ATTGTTTAAACTCAAAACTGAAGGACAAAAAACATAAAAAGAAAACCTCTCTGAAAAGTTTGAAAACTGCAATCAAAATTCCCGCTTATCCTGAGTTAGCTTAATCGGGTTTTGAACAACCCAGCCGGAGTTTTGCACATTCCATCCTCTTTCATGCTATGTCTCAACATTCCAACACATTTTTAAACAGAAATATTTGGACCATGGTAAGATTAATTTTCTGTTTTAAAGAGATGCTTATTACATAAACTAACAACTTTTTTGTATGCTTCATAATTCTTGCTTTTCTCTTAAAAACCATCACGACTTGATTGAACTCGGTTTAAAATATTAGCATCGGTTTCATTAATGTTTTCAGCATGAGGGCAACTGGTTTTCACAAACAGGCAAAAGTTCTTGAAGTGAACTTTTTTTTATAAAAGCTCTCCTCTAGATGATCAAACCAGGCGGGCAAAATCATTCTCACAGCCTGTCAATTTGCCATGGGGCCCGGAAGTAACTCAAGACTTTATTTAAAGAGCGTTTACATTAAATGGCCAAAGCTAATAAACTTGGGGCCCTTTTTAACACTCATATTACAATTTCCGCAACACTGCCTCTCCAAGGAGTCAAGAAGTTGCATGGGGACATAAGACCCTCAATGAATTTCCTTTTGGAAGCTCAAGTGTTCCTGGACTTTTCTGTTCTAGACTTATTTAAGCACATTTCTAATAAATGCATGTTAAGTTGGCAACACACAGACCCCCTTTGTAGATAAGACTGCTTGAAGCCTAGGAAATAAATAAATAAATATCTTAATTGACCACTCCCCCAATGGGGCTTTTCAGGCCCAATGAAACCAAACGATGAAATAAATAATGCAAATGAACATAACATGGTTAAAAATCCCAACTGGCAGGAGGCAGACCAGTTGGCTATTTACGAGCATAACCAAGGAGTTGAACTAGGGTCTACCGAGTAACAACTCCAGCTAAGTGGTTAGAGTGGAACTTTAACCTGTGACCTCCAGATTTCAAGTCCGGCGCCCTAACCACTTGGCCATGCTGCCTGGGGTTTTCAATCTCTCATTTAATTTGACATCACTTGAAAAACAATGGATGTAATAACTATAGGTTCCTGTGGAAGAAACAATAGGACGGAAAGGAGGTCCTACTCTCTCTTTCAGAGCAAAATACAATAATTACAACCTGGCAAAATTTTTCAGTTGTCTGCTCTGGCATCAGAAATAAAGGACTTGTGGATACTGCACTCATTCACACCACATCAAATCAACATTTTTTTATTCATTTGGCAAACAAACAAGTCAATGCCATATTTAGGTGCCACGTTTGGACTTGAAATACTGCATCAGGACATCATGAGCTTGGCCTTCTTTTCCATAATCCTGTACCAATGGTAAAGAAAGGACACTTGTCAACATAAAAGAAATACACATATCGTGAAAGATCTCTTTGATTTGCCGGTGCCACCTCAGAATTCTCTATATCGATTCCGGTGATGGACATATCCTCATGGTATGTCAGAAGAGGGAGTCCTTTTCTTCATCATAGAATGGCACAGTGGAACGGTGGTTCAAATGTGGTTAGTTTTATTATGACAAATGCGGCCAAATATCCACTTACATGGCAAAGCTGTCATTTTAGTCATCATAAGCAGTTGAAAGTTGTGTTGGATTAATTAGAGTTTAAACATGATCTGGCTAATTCAGTGTACAGTATAATTTTAAGTATTTAGAGAAAATCCTAATACAGGCAAGGTTACCCTTTGAGACAAGAACAATATCTAACCTTCACAGCCACACAACTGCAGCTAACAACTTTCCTGGCTTTCCCTTCTTTGTCTATCTTGCAGAGACCGGCCCATTCTCCAAGTTTCTTGTTGTCATCAACCTGGATCATAATCAGAACAACATATATTATGGCAAGAACGTTCAAACAGGTTCTCAAAACATTTTTCACTCGAGACCCTCAAATGAATTGAATGGGTCAAATGGGTTCATGTTAGTTTGTGTTTTTGAGTTAGCAAATGCTGTTTGCCTAAGGGAGTGTACAGTTTTGAGGCAAGTCACGTGATACATTCTCATTTCATTTGGAGGCTTCAACTGCTTTGCCATCCTGTTGAGACAACAGGATGAAAGCTTGAATGAAATCACACTTTCATCAAACATTTCCAGCATTTGACAAATTGCACAGAACATTCTAGCACATTGTAATCCAAGCATACCGCAATTACAATTGAATTGGGCAATGACTCAAAACCATTACCTAGACAATGTTCTACTTTTATGAACCTCATTTTAGCATTTTATTTCCTCACAAGAATCTTTTTGTTCTTGTTCTAATTTTTTTCTATTTCACACTTTTTACTGCATACATTTCAGTGATTGTGCTTTTTATTCACTATTTGTCAAAGACTGCTGACTGGCAATCAAAAGCTCGTAATTTTAGACTATTTTAATCAGAGAACGTTTTTAAATTTTAGTTTTAGTTACATTGCTTTCATTTGGCAACAACATGACACTGCAACTATTGTAAGATGTTGAATCAAAATGTATGAATGTATGTATGGCTGACATGTTTTTGATATATTTTTACTGGAAAGCGAGGATTCTGGCCAATTGCAGACCATGTTTTAAAGTAGACATTGAACTGTATAACAGTAACACAATGTCTTGGAATAAACCAGCATTCAAGATTCCAAATTAGACATCTGAGCAATGGACACAATTTTCACATCCTGGGTTGCACTTGGACTTGTATATTGAATAACAATAATAAACAAAAGTCTGCAAGCTAACCTTTAAAAGATGGATGCCATGTTCAGCACATAGGGCTTCAACAAGCTTCACATACATTGGCTCATCACAGTTGTTGGCCAAGATGCAAAGATGAGCCTGACGCCTAACATGTGAAAAATTAAAGTACAATATTTAAACACTAACACTGCACACCGGTACCTCATACAACAGAGGAGGGAGAGGCACTGTGAGAGAAATAAATCTTGGCAAAACATATCACACATTGGAACCACACTACTCTATCCCGAGTCAACATGCTAAATATAAGGCTGCTGGGTTAGCATCTAGAAGCCTGGTAAAAACTTCAAGTTATGCCCAAAAACGGGAACTGGTGAATGGTAAATGCCATTTTTTTTTTCAGAGCCGAAGACATTTTGACTTTTTATATTGCAAGACTGGGACTTTGGAGTGTACAAGACATTTAGACTCCATGACATTCAGACTCTAAGAAGTTCAGATGTCATTTATAAAACAAACAAATAAACAAATCAGGACTTCAACAATCTCTTAGCCTTGCAAAGTAATCAAGACTCCGAAACAGGTTCGTGACAAAATCAAACCTGTGAGATGCACATAATTGCTAAAATATGAGACTGTGAGACCTGTGAAATTCAATGAAAATTTTGTGAGACTCAGGGTGTTTGAAGGACCATACACCACCCCAAACAAAAGTGATCACAAGCACAGGAATGTTTACACCATAGACATATGTAAGTGCAGTGTGCATTATGTCAGTGGAGAAACAATATGCAATTGGTTGAATTATTCTTGGGCTTATACTTGCGCTTATTTCACGCCAGTTCCCATTTGTAGAAATAAGAAGTGAAATAAGCGTAAGAGTAAGCACAAGAAAAAGGACAATGTTTCTTTCTCTTGGGCTTATTTCACCTCGCTGCACACTAGCATTTCCTTGTCCTCATGCTTGTACTTTATAATAAACTTGCGCTAAATTCACAAGTGTGAACCAGGCTTTAATTCTCACAGTCCCTCTCTCCAACTTGAAGTCTGACTGGGTTCTGGTTGACCGCTAGGGCAACCCACAGAGGTTCATTACATGTAACAAGTTTAACAACGCCTCCCCATCCCCCACTCCAAAGAACAAGACGCAATCGATTGGAAACATGCGAACAACTGACGATATAACAACGATTACACGATCTACAAAAGTAACGAAATGAAATACCTGTCCAGAGCCTTAGCTGCTTCGTGTAAACCACGGGCAAGACCATCATGGACCAGGGCAGTCTTCAAGATTTCTTGAAGAGCGGTGTTTACGTCCATTTCGCCAACACTGGTTGTTGTAGGCACATCATCTCTATGAATAAAACCACAGAAATAACATGGATGAGAGAAATTTCTTTAAACCCGAGAAAAAGTTCTCACGATAAAACAAAAGGTTCACGTGAACATTATACGTACCCTTCCGCGTCAGACATGATTTTAATCAGAGCGGACCTCCTTACTGTTGAGAAGAAAAATTGAAATAGAAGAGTAAAGCTTAAATCTCCCATTTCCTACTAAATTTACTAAGATTTGTGCCATGATGCAAGAGATTTCAAGAGATATTTCTCCTACATGATGTGCACTCTGCTGTTTCTATTTCTTGTTCCTGAAAAGAGGCCGAGGGAAGGTAGTCACGTGGTATTGTTTGAGTTGGTGCCTAGTTACCAGTCCTCTAAAAACCGGAACGGACGCAAAATTGGGGAATCACACAGACAGGTAGGCAAAAACAGGCAGGCATGCTCATAACTTTTCAGAGAACTTTTACATAAATCTTAGTTGGGCATGAGAAACTGGCGCATCTTGAAATACAGTTTTCTCTTTTAATCAGTTTCCACAGTGTGCAGCGGCAGATCCAGACCTTGAGCTAAGGGAGGAGGGGTGGCGGGGGGGGGGGGGGGGGGGGGGGGTGCNGGCACGGTTTTGTTTTGCTTGCCCTGTCGGCTTTTCTTCCTTCTGTGGGTGGGGGAGGGTCCGGACCCCCCGGGCCCCTTCCCTAGATCCACCACTGGTGTGTCTCGACAAGTGACTATCATGATAAACTCTTGGTCTCGAGAAGCTTCTCTGACTTCCGAAACGGTCGTCACAAGGCATAACTAGGCATAAGTGTTCCCTCGGTCGGCCCTCGTCAAATTAATTTAAAAACTAAGCATGTTTACACAGCTGATTATGCAGACTGTTGGTAATAATCAACTAATAATATATCTGAAGGCAAATAAACCAGGACCCGGGAAATATTAAGATCACCAAAGTAAATACTAAAAGAAAGGTGTTCCCAAGATACATTTTCCGAGTTATCGATTCAGAAGGAATCAAGAACAAACTTCTGTTAATCTTGGTTTGCTTAGCCTTTGGAATTTCGGGGAGTAATGAAATTGAAACAAAATTTTCGTAAGTAATTGCGAAATGTCATTCTTTCGTGCCGTGCAAATGTCTGATCACTCTCAGAATGACGCTACCTGTAAAAAAAAGTAAGAGTCATGGATTCTATCAGAATAACATGGGTTTCTGCGTCAATTAATATATTATATACAAGCTAAATTTTTTTGAAGGAAGGAAAATGTGCTGAGTCTAGTCAAAGGAGCTATTATTTTGCAGCTTAATGGTCTATTTTCCTGAAGATGCCCCGATCAATTATACACCGGCCTACATGTGCACATACCCTTTTAAAAGTTTTTGACGTTTGTGATAAGATTCAGTCAGTAACTGAGAAGGATCACGGAATATACGAGAAAAAGCTTCATCATTTACAAATCAGGCAATGAAATAATTACTATTCAAAGCTTTTACGTAGAAAAATTTAAATCTTCGTGTCGACTTACTGGGACATTTGAGCATTTCCCTTTGTGATAAACGCCCAATATTTTGTGGCCTGGATTCGTCGATTTAGTTTGCTGTTTCTATGTTTGTATAAACAAGGCTGTCAGTTTTTTGGTAATTTCATAAAACTGTCGATAAGTGTTTGCCCCACTTTTGTTTGCTTTACAACTGACGGAGCTTTCTTAAAAAGGTAGTTCAAGGCAGAAAAGCCTTTTCAAGGTCAATCAGAGGAAACTAGAAAAAATGAGCTGTTCAGTAATTCTGAATTGTATCAGTACTTTTGAAATGAAGATCCTCGAAAAAATATATTGAGAAACAAATTATTGGGAAGTTTTTCAGTGAGAAAAACAATCGACTGGTCGACGGAGAATTGGAAATAAAACCAAGGTAAGCAACAATAGGGAAGTTCTGATTTAAGTAAACTTCACTAAAATTGTTCTGCGATTGTTCTACAATATCATTTCGCTATTAGGCAAAGAAAATAACGTTTGCTTAAACTAGTAATTTACCGAAATAATCTTTCGGGAGTTTAAGCACATTTTTAACATAGATAGGTCGCTCTGTCGTCATCTTGTATTCCGTTTTGTAAAGGCTAACAATCTAGATGATATGATATGTTAAAGGAACTAAGTCACGGTTTACGCATCTTGAAAAGTAAGCCTAAATTTTTCAAGTTCGTCGTTTGTAATCCGTGTTAATCTTCTCCATCCTTGACCATCCTTCCTTTAAGTTCTTGTAAAACCTCTTTAGTGTTTTTCTATCTCAGTAAACTACTATTTTCAATTTTTCTTCAATTTAAAGGTACAATTTTGTACCCAGCTAAAATAACTTAAAATAACGTGACTAAGCTCCTTTAAGTAGTTTTTATTCTAGACCAAAGATAGTAAGTGATTTGTCTCGCCTCCTTTTGATCTTAATGTCATAGTCATAATAATTACGAATTATTGTTACTCTCAATTATATTTATAGAAACTCATCGACAGGTACTTTT